CTCTGTCTCAAAAATAAATAAACGTTAAAAATAAAAAAATAAAAGGATGTGACAGGTGTGATTATCCCGGGCCTAGTGAATAATCTAGGATAGTTGCCCCATATCAAGATGCTTAATCCCACCTCCAAATGTCCTTTGCTACCTGAGGTAACAGTCACAGGTCCTGTGGATTAGGATGGGGACATCTTTGCAGGACTAGTATTTAGCGTCACACAGAGGGCTAGGGCATGTGCAACACATTGTATAAAGAAGTCCTTTAAGAGTGGTACCTCGAAGAGCTCTTAGCAATTCAAGATTTGAATTTCAGTTACATAGACAGTTCCTGCAGGGGACCCCTCGCTCCTAGAGGTGTCAGATAAGGTGGTATCACTGCACATGACCCTCCAAGTCTTGTTCTAATTTTTACATTTTTTAAAATGTTTTCAACGTTTATTCATTATTAAGAGACAGAGCGTGAACAGGGGAGGGGCAGAGAGAGAGGGAGACACCGAATCCGAAGCAGGCTCCAGGCTCCGAGCTGTCGGCACAGAGCCGGACGCGGGGCTCGAACTTTGGAGGTGTGAGACCATGGCCTGAGCTGAAGTCGGATGCTTAACCGACCAAGTCACCCAGGCACCCCCCTCCTCGTCTTGTTTTCTGTGGCAAATGCTCAAAGCACCGCCCGCTTCCCTGGTGTCCATGGCCCGCTTCCCTGGTGTCCATGGCCCGTCTTCCTCGAAATGAAATGTACAGATCACTGGGCTTAACTGTCCTGCATCATTTCCCCGGCTCTGCTGACCTTGACTTGACGGCCGACTCCCCCAAACCCCTTTCCCAGCACAGTGCACACGAAGTAACAAAGATCGGAAATAAAGTGTGCGCCAGCCGAGCAAGATACTGTTGCCAGAGACGGAAACAATGTTTCCACAGGAACCTCCTTCCCTTCATTGTGTCGCCTTTAGGAGTAGCGGCGCCCGACACCCGTGTGGACACCCTGGCGGGGCTCAACACGCCAGCCGCACCCTGGGCCCTCGGTGTGACGCGACCTCGGCGACAAGGGTCGTCAGGAGCGTCACCAAGGGCCGCGCCAAAAGCCTCCACGCGACCCAGCGCGCGGGCAGGCAGGCGTGCCCGAAGGCACGGTAGGCCACCCGGCCGCGGGCACCCCGACTCGGCCACCTCCTGGCTGGGGCCGGCCCCTTTCCACGTCCTCTCCTTGGGCCCCCGCGCCCGGGCGAGACACGGCAGTGACCGTGGCCGCCTCGCGGCTCAAAGCCTAGCACGCGGGGCGCGGACGCACCGGGGCCTGTGCCCCCGAGCCGGGCCTCTCCCCCCCGGGGCAGGCCGGCCGCGCCAGCCCCGCGTCGTGCGCGTCCCCTCTGCGCGCGGCGGCCTCCCGGGGCGCCAAGCCCGCCTCCCCGCCGCGGTTACCTGCCTCCATGATGAACCGCGTCACTCGGAAGTGCACCCTGGCCTCGGGCGCCGGCCGCCCCTCGGCACCCCGCGCCTTGTCCCCTGCTCCTCCACTGTCGGAGCCAAAGGCCTCCATGAGGCCCCGCCCCGCGGCCCCAGACCCCCCCGCCGTAAGGAGAAGGGGCCCGCGCGCGCGGCGGCCGGGTCCGGGGGGTCCTCGCGACCCGCGCGGCCGCCCCGTCCCGTCCCGTCCCGGCCACCCCGCCCCGGCCCGCCCCGGCCCGTCCCCCGGCAGCAACCCCCCCTCCCCCGGGGAGGGGGTGGAAATGACCGCCAGGCCGCGCGCAGGCGCGGGCGCAGGCGCACAGGCCGGGACGGCCGGGAGGCTGGCTGGCGCCCGCCCTGTCCCCGAACACCACGTGCCTCGCCCTGGAGCGCTGACGCCCCGCCCCTGGGAGCCCAGTGTGCCGCCCCCGAGAGCCTCAAGTCCCGCCCTCGGGAGCCGCCCGCCTAGTGCCCGTGCAGCCCGGGACCCGCTGGGCCACTTCGCGAGGTCACGGGCACCCCCAGGCATCTTAGCCGCAAGCCCCCGCGGTCCCTCTAAGGTGTCCTTCCAGCCTGCTGGCCCAGCGGGGTTTAGGCCTGGGAGAGCTGGCGGCGTCTGCCAACCCCGGGGCGAGGAGCGCTTACGGGTGCTTTCGCTGGGACGCCGGCGGCTCCCAGCAGAAGAAAGCGTGTGAGTCAGTGTCAGCGTGCGTAAACGCTGAATCCCGCGTTACCAAAGTCCCCAGACAGGCAGATGAGCCCCGAAGGGAATGTGCCAAGAGTGACTGTATCACGGGGTTTTGTCTCTGGGGTCTTTCTCTGCGTCCCTGAGAGGTCTGGCTTCCGCTCACCTTCCCAGCCTGGCACACGTTAGGAGCTCACCAAATGAATGAACGTTGTGAACCACCCAACTCACAATGCCATGTCACACTTCCTTTGTGTGCCTTCCACAAGCAGGAAATCATGCATCGGGCCTCAGATATACAGCACCAAAGGGACTCTGCAGCCGACGACTCAGTCCATCTGGGTGGTTCTGATACAGCCCGATGGTTGCCATGATTTGAGAGAGTTGAGAACCTTGAGAGGAAAAAGCCACTGCTCCCAAGCTCTTCCGCCAGGGTGACCGGACTCCGCCGATCCTCACGCGCCCGGGACAGCCTCGTCTCCTTCCGCCGCTGGCCCGAGTCTTCTCTCCACACCAGCTGGGGTTGTTTCCTGTGGCTGCTGTCACAGGTGACCCCAAAGGGAGGGACTTAAATCTTTCCTTTCCTCTTCCAGCTGCTGGTGGCCCCAGGTGTTCCTTGGCTCGTGGCCACATCCCTTCGGTCTCTGCCTCTGTTCTCACCTGGCTTTCTCCTCTGTGTGTCTGTGTGTCTCCCGTTTCTCTATTACCAAATAAGGTCATGTGCACAGGTTCCAGGGGTCACGACACGGGCACGTCTTTTAGGGGGCTACTCTTCGGTCCACAATACCAACCACCAGCCAGAGGGAGCTTCCCGAAACGTAAGCCGGAACGGGCTCTGCCCTGCCTACCACCTCCCAGGGCCCCTTCAGCTAACCGCTCTCGGCTCCCACCGCTTTGCCGTCCGTGCCAACAGCCTGGCGCGGCTCCCCGGAGGTGGTAGTCTGCCACCTGAGGGTCTTCAAAATGTTCGGCCAAGGGGAGGGACTCGCGTCACCTACCCTGTCCCCAGCTCTCGCTGTCTGCGGCAAGGCGCGGGCCCCCTGGGCGGAGTACCTGTGTGCGCTGCGTGTTTGTGCGCGGGTGCCCGTGCGCGTGCGGGTGGAGGGACTCAGGGCCCCAAGCCCCCTGTGCAGCTAACCCCCGTCATGCCTGGAGCACCGTGTCACTGCTGACTGTCCCCTACCCGAGGCGGAAACCCAGACCACGCAGAATGGCAGCCGAAAGCGGCATACCATGCACACACACTCCCCACACTCACCCACAAACGTGCACACGCATCAGGCACGCCCCCCTCCCCGTGCGCACACGGAGGGCTGCACCGTGCATACACGTCACACACCCAAATCCTATCACTCTGCCCTCTGGCCCCCGGGCCCGGAGGCCTGCATGTGACCTCCTCATCCCCCGTGTTTGTCAGTTAAACAGCACGGCTGGAACTCCTCCTCCCCCCCCTCCCCCCCGCCCCGGGCCTTTTGTGGTGTGAAGTCTCAGCTCAGCAAGTAATAGGTGCCTGTGAATGTGAGTCAAGGGAATGACTCAATGAACACATTAATTTTTAAAACCCTGGGTCACAGGGCACCCTCCTGGCAGGCAGCCTGGACACAGTGGTTGACAAATGAATAATTCACTAGCCACCAGTGGGAGCCAGCAAACCTCCAGGCTGCTCGGCTCTCCCACCACCAAGCCACACCCACGGTGCTGGCCCTCCCTTCCCGGTCACCTGTCACCACTCCCCCGAAAGTGGCTTCCCCCCTCTCACCACCCACCCATCCCCTGACCTTGCCCCGGGGATTATCTCCAGACCCTGTACAGAGAAGGATTCTGTGACATTTGCCAACACTTCCTCCAATTGCCTTGGCAATGGCGCCGTCTCCTAATGAGGGAGGGAGGGCTCGGGCTGAGGCTCAAAGGGTGGGGCAGAGAAGGGAGAGACGCACTGGGGGCGCAGGGGAGAGGCCGTGCCCAGGCCAGGCCACCGGAAGGCTGGGTGGTCTTCATCAAACACAGGGGATGGTTTCCAAAGTGCTGACCCTGCCCACCCCCTCCCCAGTGGCCTTCACCCTGGGAGCGGTCGGTTGGAGAGCAGCGTCATCCAAGTCCAGTCCCGTCACCTGTCCTTGGAACCTGAGAACGTCGCTCCGCTGTAACCCCTTCTTGCCCACCTCGCCCCCTCTCCTCCAACACCTCCCGGGCCTCCGATCGCTCGCCGTCAGCGAGCCCAACCGCCTTCCTCTGGGTCCGCCTCCGGGTTTCCGCTGCCCTCTTCTCTACTGCCCTTCTCAGCTCCGCAACTCGGAAGCCGTGGGTGTCCGGAGGCGGAAAGTCCAAGACCAGTGCGCCGGGACAGTTGGCTTCTGGTGAGGACCCTGTTCCGGGTTGCAGAAAGCCAAGTTCTCACCGTGTTCTCACGTGGTAGGAGGGGCAAACCACCGTCTGGGGTTTCTTTTATAAGAGTACTGATTCCACTCATGAGGCTCTGCCCTCGGGAGCTACTCAGCGGGCCCCCTCCGAATACCATCACCTCGGCCATTCGGTTTCACCGTGCGGGTTTGGGAGGAGGGACACATTCAGACCCTAGGCCCACCGAGGTCATGTGCCACTTCCAAGCTGTCTCCTCCCAGCGACACCTGTGGCAGGTGACCTCCCTGTAATGCAGGGTCTGGCTCCTTACTTTAAAGTGTGACAGCCGACAGCTTCGAAGCCTCATCCTCCCTGTCCCTTGTGCCCCACACATGGGCAAGCTGATGTCAAAACCTCCGGGCTCCCTTCCTCGGCATCAGAGGGGAGTTCGCACCACCCACAGGAACCCCCGCCCCTGCTCTAGCTCCAAACACGACAGAGACACCCCCGCACCCCCTGCCCGGTCTCCTTTCCATGTCCTCTCAAGTCGTCTTCTGACCACCTTGGGGACCTGCCGTGCGATCCCAGGAAGCCTCAATGTGTGAGTAAGGAACCTTTTCAGAACCTCTTGGGGGTATGGTGCCATCGGTCTCCATGCCCAAGGCAAATTTGGGGTGGGAGGTCAATCCCGTTTCTAAAGGGGGACCACAACACACTCCTTCCTGCCCCAAACACTCTCCTCTTGTGGACTCATCGCCCCCACTCTCCTGGCTCCCTGCCTCCCTCCCCCACGGACTGAGTGCCTGCATGAGCCAGGCTCAGGCCTGCTGCTGGGACGAAGCAGACAGGGTCTCCCTTCAGTTGCCTTGCCCTCCTCCCCCACCTCGCATGCTGCACACAAAGCAACCTTTGTCAAACCAAAATCTGGTCGGGGGCCCTCCCTTCTCGGAGCCTGCAAAGCCATATTAGCTGCCTGGACACAGCTCTATTTACCTGGCAGGTCAGGGTTCAGTTTTACTAAAGAAGGTGGAAGTTTCCTTACAAGTGGGGAAACTGTGGGGATAATGGCTCTTGGTTAATCTACTACCTGAGATTATTTCCTTTTTCACAGTTTTGAGTAAAAACCAGCTCTACAGAGAGAGAGATTGAACAGCTCTGAACACCCATGAGATCTCGTGTGACCAAGTTGGACCCCAGAAGTGTGGAGAGTCGGCATGAGGGTTAGAAAACCCACTCCAGCAATAGACATGTACAAATAGCTGCTACAGCTCCAGAGACAAAAAGTAGATTCGTGGGTGCCAGGGGCTGGGGGAGGAGGGGAGGGGTGTTGGGGGAGCAACGGAAGTAACTGCTAATAGGGACAGGGCTTCTTTGGGGAAGTGATAAACACGTTCCGGAATTAGATTGTGGCGATGGTGGCACAAGTCTGGATATACTAAAAACCATTGCATTGTATAGTTTAAATGGGTGCATTTTATGGTATGTGAATTATATCTCAATAAAGCTGTTGTGTAAAAACATTACCATGGATAGCTGTGCCACCAAGGACAAAATCCTCCCATGGGGAGAAGGCGTTTCAGAAGGGAGAGCCGAAGACTGGCCAGCAAAGGGAATCAGAGGGCAAAGCTGTGCTGGTGGAGCGACCACAAGGTGTTTTTCGAAGAGCTAAGGCTCTGCGTGGACAAGCACACGGACCCATGCAGCAGAAGCTGACAAGCCGAGGGGAGGGCAGTAGGACAGGTGCAGCGAGGGTGGTGACACTGTGCTACAGAAAGGTCCGAGGACCCTGGGGAAGACAGAGAGTTCAGGGAAGACCCAGAGGTGTAACACTGCCCTCAAAGTCCAGAAATGGGCCTAACGGTATCAATTCTGAAACCCAAGACTCTGAGAGGCGAGGCCCCTTGACGAGGAAAGCTTGGGTCTGGTGGAAACATCCTGCCTGTCATTCTGCTTACCCGAGGCCCACCACCCAGACTGAAAGTCGATGCAGACAAACATCTTGACCCGAGTCCATCTGATGGGTGATCTCCTTAACCCATAGGCCACTTGAAAACAGAGACAGGGAC